CCCCCCCATGACTACCAAAAGGAAAATAAGAAAAAGAATATATACTAAGACAAACTAAAATGGCTACACTTATGACAATTTCAGGCTTGATATCACAATTTCTGGTTGAGGATTGTTGAGGATCCAAAATTTGTCAAGGATCTTGGAGTACTCATCTCAAATGATCAAAGACCACTGTAACTACATAGCCAAAAATTAAGAGTTGTTAATCTAATCCTACGTAGCTTCTTCTCTGGTAAAATCACACTACTAACTAGAGCATACAAAACATTTGCTAGACCTATACTTGAATACAGCTCATCAGTCTGGAACCCGCATTATGTATCTGATATTAATACAGTTGAGAAAGTTCAGAAACATTTCACAAGAAGAGTTCTCCATTCCTCTATTCGTTGCAGAAGACCTTATGCCACTAGACTTGAAATTCTACACCTAGACAACCTAGAACTACGCCGCCTTCGGTCCGATCTAAGTATAGTATATAAAATCATACATTGCAATGTCCTACCTGTCAATGAATACTTCAGCTTCAACCATAACAAGAGCACACAATAGATACAAACTCAAGGTTAACCACACCAAACTTGACTGCAGAAAATACGACTTCAGCAACAGAGTGGTCAATGTTTGGAATCCTCTACCTGACTCTGTGGTTTCTTCCCCAAACCCCAAAAACTTTAACCTTAGTCTGTCTACTATTGACCTCACCCCTTTCTTAAGAGGTCTGTAAGCGCACCAATCGTGCCTACTGTCCCTGTCCTATTGTTTCTTTTTATTTTTCTTATAAATATCTATCTCATGTATTCAAAACTATGTTTATTCTTATACCTGTATCTTGTAAGCGATTGACAAATCAAATAAATAAATTAAATAAATAAATAAGCTCCTTCCACTGGTTAATTGTTCTCATTGTTCGGATGTTTCTCCTTATTTCCAGGCTGAATCTCTCCTTGTTCAGTTTCCACCCATTCTTCCTTGTCTGGCCCTCAGGTGCTTAGGAAAATAGTTTGACCCCTTCCTCCTCTCTGGGGCAGCCCCTCAAATCTTGGAAGATGCTCTCCTATCACCCATGGTCCATCTCTTCCCTAGACTAGACAGGCTCAGTTCCTGCAACGATTCATCGTATGTTTTAGTCTCCAGACCTTTGATTGTCTTAGGGAAATTACAGATTAACAGAGTTGGAAGGTACCTTGCAAGTCATCTAGTCCAACCTCCCACCCAAACAGGAGACCCTACACCATTTCTGACAGAGGGCAGCCCAGTCTCTTCTTAAAAGCTTCCAGGGATGAAGCTCCCACCACTTCTCAACTTAAAAGTTGGCTCAGACCACATGGAAAAACCGCACACCTTTGTGCAACCTCAGCAGGTTAGTGAATCCGATCCCCAGCATATGTGTGTTGTGCGACTGAAGCCAGAAAAAGCTTCAGAGCTGGTGGGGGAAATACCCTAAAATGTGGGTGGGAAGGCTGGTTGCATTAAGCGCAGATTGGCTGTACAGGAGGTCCTCAGCTTATGACCACAACAGAGCCTGACATTTATGCTGTCAAGGGAGACATTTGTTGAGTGAATTTTGCTCCATTTTATGACCTTTCTTGCCTCGGTTGTTAAATGAATCAACACAGTTGTGAAGCCAGTAACCCGTTTGTTGAGTGAACCTGGCTTCCTCCATTAACTTTGCTTGTCAGAAGGTCCCAAAAGGGGATCACGTAACCCCGGGACATGCAGGAAAGAAAGAAAGAAAAACAAGGGAAGGAAGAAGGGAGGAATGGAGGTAGGAAAGAAGGAAAAACAAGGGAAGGAAGGAAGGAAAGGAAAAGGAGGGAGGGAGGGAGGGAGAGAGGAAGGAAGGAAGGAAGGAAGGAAGGAAGGAAGGAAGGAAGGAAGG